TAATTTTTTTTTTTATTTATTTTAAATATTTTTTCGGCCAGGATCTAAATTTGGAGCAGATCCTTCCCCTGCTCCGAACAGCTCCTGCAGCCTGGCTGGGGGCAGAGAGGGAGGCATCAGATGACATGACAAACTAAGTCATGTCTCTCGATCATTTCAATGCCACCCCCTCTCTCCCGGCCTCTGCCTTCCATTTTAATCACTGACAGGCCTTCAAGTATCATGGGTATGTATAATCTTTTTAATATCACTGACATAGGCCATACTGGAAAGCATCTCCTGTGTGCTGAGGCATTCTGAGATCGTGTCTTCCTGCTGTCACAGAGGGCAGAGCTCAGATTCATCTTGCCCCAGGCCCGGGTGCTGAAGGACCAAAGGTCTTGCTCTGGGATTTGCTTTGCTCAGTGCCCCCCCAACCCTGCCGTAGGAAATGGGACTCAGCAAAGCTCTAAAGCTGATTTCCACAAGGTAGCTGCTCACCCACACCCCCTCTGCTCCTGAGAAGCCTGTGGAAATGTGCTGCCAGCTTCTGCTTGCAGCATTTTCCTGGAATCCCCCTTTCTAGCCTCTCTAATAGTTTATGGTGTCTTCAGCCCCTGCCTCACGTCATGAGTTTGGTATGCAACTCCCAAGGCCAGGGAGGTCGCTTACCTCAGTTATTTGGCAAACACAACACAAATTATTAACACTAATACAAATAATGCCCACGTTTGGGAGGAGAGAAGGAATAATCTCCTTGCCCAGCTGCTGGGACTTGGCATTACAGGGACGGGAGGATCCACGTGTCCTCCAGAGCTGCAGGGCTGACCAGCCCCCAGGGGCTCTGCTCTGGTCAGAGAGCCCACGTCTCACACCAGGCCTGTAAGCAAGGGGTTCTGTGGAAGCCAGCTCAAATTCCACTGCAGTTCCAGCCCTGTAACTTCCACAAATCATTGCAAAAGAGAGGGAGGGAAAAAAAAGCAGGAAAAAAAGTGCTGCTGGCTGGTAGAGAGCTGCAGCAGCCAGACAGCAGCAGAGGGTGGAACTTGTCGGCCCAGCACAACCCTTCCTGGCCACTGCTTGTACCTTGTTCCTTCAGGACACTCTTGTTCAAGGCTGTAAGAGGCACTGGCAATATTTACAACCAAAAAAAATGGGCTGTTCACAGCATTCAGGTTTGGTTACCTTTGTGAAAGTTCTACTGTCACTCACCTGCCCTGGGCCACCAGGCTTTTCTCTTGGGAGATCAGCATAGAACATTCTTCCATGGTATGAGACTGACATGAAATTCCCATCTACCTGTTCTTATATTAACAAGTTTCCTGTGAGCAGAGATACACTTGGGGCCTGGTTTTTATAGGCTGGGCTGGAGGCATGGTTCTTGTGAACAGGCTTTGCCATCTTTTAAGGTAAAGCTACCAAATACAAGCATTCCAGCCTCTGAGACAATCACGTTGCCTCTATAATGTGCAGACTCCCTCTTGTCTAGAAACAGATGGCTCGAGCTGTGTGAGCTGGGCATATTCACAAGCTGATAATCATCTCCAGGGAAGCAGGAGCTATTGTCAGAGCCTGTGAGACACACCCCAACTTCAGGCCTTTTTCCTTATAATTCTCAAAATATTGCTGAAATTCTCACTGC